ATCAAGTGGTCTCTGAGAGATCAAGTGGTCACTGAGAGATCAAGTGGTCTCTGAGAGATCAAGTGGTCACTGAGAGATCAAGTGGTCTCTGAGAGATCAAGTGGTCACTGAGAGATCAAGTGGTCTCTGAGAGGTCAAGTGGTCACTGAGAGATCAAGTGGTCTCTGAGAGATCAAGTGGTCACTGAGAGATCAAGTGGTCACTGAGAGATCAAGTGGTCACTGAGAGATCAAGTGGTCACTGAGAGATCAAGTCGTCACTGAGAGATCAAGTGGTCACTGAGAGATCAAGTGGTCACTGAGAGATCAAGTGGTCACTGAGAGATCAAGTAGTCACTGAGAGATCAAGTAGTCACTGAGAGATCAAGTGGTCACTGAGAGATCAAGTGGTCACTGTGAGGACAAGTTGTCACTGAGAGATCAAGTGGTCACTGATAGATCAAGTGGTCACTAAGAGATCAAGTGGTCACTGAGAGATCAAGTGGTCACTGAGAGATCAAGTAGTCACTGAGAGATCAAGTGGTCTCTGAGAGATCAAGTAGTCACTGAGAGATCAAGTGGTTTCTGAGAGATCAAGTGGTCACTGTGAGGACAAGTTGTCACTGAGAGATCAAGTGGTCTCTGAGAGATCAAGTGGTTTCTGAGAGATCAAGTAGTCACTGAGAGATCAAGTGGTCTCTGAGAGATCAAGTGGTCACTGTGAGGACAAGTTGTCACTGAAAGATCAAGTGGTCACTGAGAGATCAAGTGGTTACTGAGAGATCAAGTGGTCACTGAGAGATCAATTGGTCACTGAGAGATCAAGTGGTCACTGAGAGATCAAGTGGTCACTGAGAGGTCAAGTGGTCACTGAGAGATCAAGTAGTCACTGAGAGATCAAGTGGTCACTGAGAGATCAAGTGGTCTCTGAGAGATCAAGTGGCCTCTGAGAGATCAAGTGGTCTCTGAGAGATCAAGTGGTCACTGAGAGATCAAGTGGTCTCTGAGAGATCAAGTGGTCACTGAGAGATCAAGTTGTCACTGAGAGATCAAGTGGTCACTGAGAGGTCAAGTGGTCACTGAGAGGTCAAGTGGTCACTGAGAAATCAAGTAGTCACAGAGAGATCAAGTGGTCACTGAGAGATCAAGTGGTCTCTGAGAGATCAAGTGGTCTCTGAGAGATCAAGTGGTCACTGAGAGATCAAGTTGTCACTGAGAGATCAAGTAGTCACTGAGAGATCAAGTGGTCCTCGAAGATCAAGTGGTCTCTGAGAGATCAAGTGGTCACTGAGAGATCAAGTAGTCACTGAGAGATCAAGTGGTCACTGAGAGATCAAGTGGTCTCTGAGAGATCAAGTGGTCTCTGAGAGATCAAGTGGCCTCTGAGAGATCAAGTGGTCACTGTGAGGACAAGTTGTCACTGAGAGATCAAGTGGTCACTGTGAGGACGAGTTGTCACTGAGAGATCAAGTGGTCATTGTGAGGACAAGTGGTCACTGAGAGATCAAGTGATCTCTGAGAGATCAAGTGGTCACTGAGAGATCAAGTGGTCTCTGAGAGATCAAGTGGTCACTGAGAGATCAAGTGGTCTCTGAGAGATCAAGTGGTCACTGAGAGATCAATGGTCTCTGAGAGATCAAGTGGTCACTGAGAGATCAAGTTGTCTCTGAGAGATCAGTGGTCACTAGAGATCAAGTGGCACTGAGAGATCAAGTGTCACTGAGAGATCAAGTGTCACTGAGAGATCATGTAGTCACTGAGAGATCAAGTAGTCACTGAGAGATCAAGTGGTCACTGTGAGGACAAGTTGTCACTGAGAGATCTAGTGGTCACTGAGAGATCAAGTGGTCACTGAGAGATCAAGTGGTCACTGAGAGATCAAGTGGTCACTGAGAGGTCAAGTAGTCACTGAGAGATCAAGTGGTCACTGAGAGATCAAGTGGTCACTGAGAGATCAAGTGGTCACTGAGAGATCAAGTGGTCACTGAGAGATCAAGTTGTCACTGAGAGATCAAGTGGTCACTGAGAGATCAAGTAGTCACTGAGAGATCAAGTAGTCACTGAGAGATCAAGTGGTCACTGAGAGATCAAGTGGTCACTGTGAGGACAAGTTGTCACTGAGAGATCAAGTGGTCACTGAGAGATCAAGTGGTCACTGAGAGATCAAGTGGTCACTGAGAGATCAAGTGGTCACTGAGAGATCAAGTAGTCACTGAGAGATCAAGTGGTCTCTGAGAGATCAAGTGGTCACTGAGAGATCAAGTGGTCTCTGAGAGATCAAGTGGTCACTGTGAGGACAAGTTGTCACTGAGAGATCAAGTGGTCTCTGAGAGATCAAGTGGTCTCTGAGAGATCAAGTAGTCACTGAGAGATCAAGTGGTCTCTGAGAGATCAAGTGGTCACTGTGAGGACAAGTTGTCACTGAGAGATCAAGTGGTCACTGAGAGATCAAGTGGTCACTGAGAGATCAAGTGGTGTCTGAGAGATCAAGTGGTCTCTGAGAGATCAAGTGGTCACTGAGAGATCAAGTAGTCACTGAGAGATCAAGTGGTCACTGAGAGATCAAGTGGTCACTGTGAGGACAAGTAGTCACTGAGAGATCAAGTGGTCTCTGAGAGATCAAGTGGTCACTGTGAGGACAAGTAGTCACTGAGAGATCAAGTGGTCTCTGAGAGATCAAGTAGTCACTGAGAGATCAAGTGGTCACTGAGAGATCAAGTGGTCACTGTGAGGACAGTAGTCACTGAGAGATCAAGTGGTCTCTGAGAGATCAAGTGGTCACTGTGAGGACAAGTAGTCACTGAGAGATCAAGTGGTCTCTGAGAGATCAAGTAGTCACTGAGAGATCAAGTGGTCTCTGAGAGATCAAGTGGTCACTGAGAGATCAAGTAGTCACTGAGAGATCAAGTGGTCTCTGAGAGATCAAGTGGTCACTGAGAGATCAAGTAGTGACTGAGAGATCAAGTGGTCTCTGAGAGATCAAGTGGTCACTGAGAGATTAAGTAGTGACTGAGAGATCAAGTAGTCACTGAGAGATCAAGTGGTCACTGAGAGATCAAGTTGTCACTGAGAGATCAAGTGGTCTCTGAGAGATCAAGTGGTCACTGAGAGATCAAGTTGTCACTTAGAGATCAAGTGGTCTCTGAGAGATCAAGTAGTCACTGAGAGATCAAGTGGTCACTGAGAGATCAAGTTGTCACTGAGAGATCAAGTGGTCTCTGAGAGATCAAGTAGTCACTGAGAGATCAAGTGGTCACTGAGAGATCAAGTAGTCACTGAGAGATCAAGTGGTCTCTGAGAGATCAAGTGGTCTCTGAGAGATCAAGTGGTCACTGAGAGATCAAGTGGTCTCTGAGAGATCAAGTGGTCACTGAGAGATCAAGTGGTCACTGAGAGATCAAGTGGTCACTGAGAGATCAAGTAGTCACTGAGAGATCAAGTGGTCTCTGAGAGATCAAGTAGTCACTGAGAGATCAAGTGGTCTCTGAGAGATCAAGTGGTCACTGAGAGATCAAGTGGTCTCTGAGAGATCAAGTGGTCTCTGAGAGATCAAGTGGTCACTGAGAGATCAAGTGGTCTCTGAGAGATCAATTGGTCACTGAGAGATCAAGTGGTCTCTGAGAGATCAAGTGGTCACTGAGAGATCAAGTAGTCACTGAGAGATCAAGTGGTCACTGAGAGATCAAGTGGTCACTGAGAGATCAAGTAGTCACTGAGAGATCAAGTGGTCACTGTGAGGACAAGTTGTCACTGAGAGATCAAGTAGTCACTGAGAGATCAAGTGGTCACCGAGAGATCAAGTGGTCCCTGAGAGATCAAGTGGTCACTGAGAGATCAAGTGGTCACTGAGAGATCATGTGGTCACTGAGAGATCAAGTGGTCACTGAGAGATCAAGTGGTCACTGAGAGATCAAGTGGTCTCTGAGAGATCAAGTGGTCACTGAGAGATCAAGTAGTCACTGAGAGATCAAGTGGTCACTGAGAGATCACGTGGTCACTGAGAGATCAAGTGGTCACTGAGAGATCAAGTGGTCACTGAGAGATCAAGTGGTCACTGTGAGGACAAGTTGTCACTGAGAGATCAAGTAGTCACTGAGAGATCAAGTGGTCACTGAGAGATCAAGTGGTCACTGTGAGGACAAGTTGTCACTGAGAGATCAAGTAGTCACTGAGAGGTTAACTGGTAACTGAGAGTTAAAGTGGTCTTTGAGAGGCAAAGTGGTAACAGAGGTCAAGTGGTCACTGAGAGGTCAAGTGATGACTGAGAGGTCAAGTAGTCACTGAGAGGTCAAATGGCCGCTGAGAGGCCAAGTGGTAACAGTGGCCAAGTGTTCAAAGAGAGAAGTCAAGTTTTACAGAGAGGTCATGTAGTCACAGAAAGGTTAAGTGGTAACAGAGAGATGAAGTGGTCACTGAGAGGTCAAGTGGTCACTGAGAGATCAAGTGGTCACTGAGAGATCAAGTAGTCACTGAGAGATCAAGTGGTCACTGAGAGATCAAGTGGTCACTGAGAGATCAAGTGGTCACTGAGAGATCAAGTGATCACTAAGAGTTCAATTGGTCACTTAGAGATCAAGTGGTCACTGAGAGATCAAGTAGTCACTGAGAGATCACGTGGTCACTGAGAGGTCAAGTGGTCACTGAGAGATCAAGTTATCACTGAGAGATCAAGTGGTCACTGAGAGGTCAAGTGATCACTGAGAGATCAAGTGGTCACTGAGAGATCAAGTGGTCACTGAGAGATCAAGTAGTCACTGAGAGATCACGTGGTCACTGAGAGATCAAGTGGTCACTGAGAGATCAAGTGGTCACTGAGAGATCAAGTGGTCACTGAGAGATCAAGTGGTCACTGAGAGATCAAGTGGTTACTAAGAGATCAAGTGGTCACTGAGAGACATAGTAAAGTCATTGTGAGGTAAATTTATGCATAATTATCTTATATTAGTTTTAACAGTTTAATTACGATTGAAGACAAGTTTGAGAAGGTGATAGAGGTGAGGGAGGAGAGGTGGAGGCACTAAC